AGAGCAAGAAAGAGAAGTCTAGAAGAGAAGAAGGAGGAAGAAGAGAGCTTCTTGTGCAAAGCTTTGTAGGTAAGCCACAACACAACCTTCTCTTTCATTTTCCTTTTTCAAATACATGTTCCTAAGGGTTGTAAATAATGTTTTCAGATCTGTTATTGATGAGTTACTTTTTTTAAAAATGCTAAAAGTTGAGCATTGATTCCATCTCTCTTGTATTTTCCCCATTTTGGCACAAAACCATATTCTTTTTGTACCAATCTCTCAACTTTTCAAGAGCACTCTTTCAAACAAATTTTCTGAGTCAAACATGTGATAGTCAGCATATTTTCTTCACAAAAGAAATGAAACTTTCCCTCAGTGGAACCCTTTTTCTCATAAATCTTCTTGTTTTGGACATTCCACCTTAGAATCTGTTTTTGCAGCCCACTTCCAGAAATTCTAGAAAAATGTACAAAATTATTCTGGACCTCTATTTTATATCAAAACCTTCCTCAAGATATTATCTTTCAACTAAAATTAGTTTCATCGAAAAACATCAAGTGGTTTGCAAGAAAATCAAATTTTCGTAACGGTCGACGGATCTGGACAGATTCTGGACAGCGCTGGAGTATTTTCTAAATAACTTAAAATCTGGAAAAGCAATCCCATTTCCGAAAAATGTTCTAGAAACTAGATCAAATTCTCTACGAACCATAGGAAAACCGAGTCGGGAAAAATCTGATAGCCCTTTTGAGTATAATCTTTAGGTAGTATTGAATCTGAAAATTTTGTTTTATTTGTGTTTTATGCTTTTCTGTTCATGAATATACTTATTAATATATGATCATGTCTTTGTATGATCCCTTTTGAGGCCCTGTGGTTGGCGCTACGCGGTATATAACCGTTGGTAGGCATCCGAGGTTAGTTCTGCAACAAAGCAGCAAAAGGGGGAGTTCCGAATAGTCTGGTGTCCAATTCTTGTGGTTGGGAGGATAAAATCTCTTTGGGGGATTTCTAGTTTACTAACATCTAACTTGTAACCCTTTGTTTATTTGGTTAAGTATCATGCTTTACTATTTGATGTTATATTTGTGATTTTGTATTGGACTGGGAAAAAAGGATAGGGTGTGTGTGTGTTTACTGGGCATTCAAAGCTCACGGCGTGTCATGCCAGGTGCTGAAGAGGAGCTTATAGCTGGAGACGACAAACCTGAAACCTTCGAAGACTTTTGGCCATCTTAGGAAAGTTAGAAATCCCTTTTGATATTTTGTAAGGCTCGTGTGAAGATTTAAATTTTCCTTTTGGGATGTAATGTAATGGAACAAGCCTTTGGAATTAAGAATATTTGAGGTTGTTATGTACTTATGTTCTATATATTTATATGTATGAACCTTATCGTTGCTTATGAGACCTTGTGTCAATACCTTTTAAGATCTGTTAAAAGGGTAGTGCGCTGCCTAAGAAAGCCGGACTTAGAAGAGAGGCAAATTTGACTCCTCCGGCGATCTGAGATCTTAGTTGGTTATTGACCATAGGACTCATTAGTGACTCTCCCTTGACTGCAACCAATAGTGTAGATTCGAGGCGTCAGAATATCACATAACCTAAGTCAATTTCGTGTTTGGATGTCGATAAGACCTTCAATTTGTAGAACAAAACAGAAAATACGAACAGATCTTTCTATGATAGACAGATAGAAACACAAATAATGCAACACACATGCAATTAATTTAGAATTTCATCTTAATTACTCATTAAGCATTCTTAATCATGGTTTAATGGTTAATCATAGATCGGGGTTGTTACACCCTATATCTAGACCACCATCGCACTGCTGCAATCACCGTTGTCCTAAGTAAAAGTTGTCATCGTCGAAGGAAATAGACAAACCTTTCTCGCTGATACAGATAGCTTGAAAGTGCGAGGGGTGGTGTTAATGTAGAGCTCTATCACGATTCGACTGACGCTATTACCTTTAATTGCCATCTCGAAGAAGACTTTAGGGTCCGTCATTATTGCAGATCGTCGTCACTAGTGCCTTGCCAAAGTTTGATCTGCCCTCGAGTTTATCCGTGCCTATTTTTGTTGTAATCTGCGCCTGCAACGACGGTGGTTTGGCGAGATAGGTGAAGGAAATATGGGTAGAGCTAAGCCCCATCTCCAAATCTCTCTCGCGGCTCCAAATCTCCATCTCTAGGCCTCCTTCGCAATCAAACACAATAGATAGGAAGAGAGAGTTGATTCAACAAATGAAACAAAAGAGTGTTTCTATAGATCAGACATTTAACAGATAAAAGCATTGAATTGCTATTTTAACATATTAAAAAAATGAACAGATATGTTCGATAGATAAAATAAAATATTTTAATAGATAGGCTAAAAAAATCAACAAATAAAAAAAGATTTGAACAAATAGGTTCAAAAAAATTAAACAAATAAAAAAGATTTCAACAAATAGATTAAGTAGCAAAACTGAAAATAAAATATCCTCCAAAATAATAAAATATACTTCTCACCACAATATTTAAAAAACAGTGTACTTCTCACAAACAAACAAAAAAATATTCATAGGACCTAATGACTTATACCTTCCTTAGATTGAATTTATCAGTAATTTTCTCCTTCTTTTTTTTTAAACGTTTTTCTATAAGATATTATTGATAAATGAACAAGCCCTCGTGATATGCAAAAGTTTTTCTAAGCAAAAAGTGAAGAAAATTGTTTGAGGGCCCAAAATCAACAGCTCAAATTTGGCTCGAAACCCAAAATGACATCGTTTTGGGTTTCATTTTTTTTTTTCTTTTTCTTCATTTTCTTTCTTTTTTTCTTCTTATTTTTCCTTTTGAACACAGAGGCGAGAGAGAGAAATGAGAGAAGAGAAGAGAAGAGGAAGAGAGAAGAAGGAGGAAAGATGGGGACGAGAGATCTGTGAATGGCGATGGGCGACGGAGAGCAACGGCGACAACAGCGTGATGGCAGCGACGAGAGATCTGTGTGTGTATATACACAGATCGACGGAGAGCTCCTCCTTCTTCCTCCTCTCCTTTCTCTGTTCTTCTCTTTTCCCTTCATTTTTTTTTCTATTTTGATTTTGATGTTTTTGATTTGTGTAGATTTGGTGATTTGTGAGAGTTTTTGAGTTTTGATTTTTGATTTTTGAGTTTGTTGAGTTTTGAGTGAGCTCCAGAGCAACACAGCAAAGAGGGGGCGGGAAGAAGAGACTGAAATTTTTTTTTTTTTTCCTTCTTCCTCTTCTCTTTTCTTCTTTTTCTTTTTCTTTTTTCTTCTTTCTTCTTTCTTCTCTTATGTGATGCTGCTGTGTTGAGTCGGAAGAAGAGAATGGAAGGAAGAAGGCATGGGGAGGAAGAAGAAAAGAAAAAAAAAAAAAAATTCAAAACGGCGTCGTTCTGAAATTCGGGGCAGTCGAGCCATGGGAAAATCGGGCTCTGTAACGGGACTGAAAAGTGAAAAGATTGTCGAGAGTAAAAGACTAGACTGTTGTCTTTGGAGACAATAGATTTTAATTTTTTAAAAAATAATAATTTAGAAGTCATATGAAAAATAGTCAAAGATTCTTTTATTTTTCATTATTTTTATAAAAATTTATAAAAAAAAATTAATTTTAAATTTTAAAAAACATTTCATCTCATATTTAAAAATAAATAAATTGAAAAAATCACCTCCCAACCCAATTCTAACTAGACTATGTTATATATGATCTGATCTGTTCATAACCAACTTCATTATGATTGAAAATCAGAAAACATGAAAAGGGACAAGCAAGTGTTTTCATCCATAGAAAAATAAAAATAAAAAACAAAAAAGAAAAAGCAAAGGAAAAAAAAAAAAAAGTTAATGCTCAAAGAAAGACAAAATCCCGAGAAAAATGGGAAGAAAGGTGACCCTACCTCCTCCACCCATCTGGAAAGCCTAGACTTTTATGAAAAGCAAAATATCTGTTCATAACCAACTTCATTATGATTGAAAATCAGAAAACATGAAAAGGGACAAGCAAGTGTTTTCATCCATAGAAAAATAAAAATAAAAAACAAAAAAGAAAAAGCAAGGGAAAAAAAAAAAGAAGTTAATGCTCAAAGAAAGACAAAATCCCGAGAAAAATGGGAAGAAAGGTGACCCTACCTCCTCTACCCATCTGGAAAGCCTAGACTTTTATGAAAAGCCAAATAAAATGAGCCAAAGCCATTAAAAAAAAAAAAAATTTGTTATAAAGAAAGTGGCATGCACAGTTATAAACACAAAAAATATGTATGGAATAATATACATAAAATGAAAGAAAATAATTTACAAGTTTACTTTTTAAATTTATTTTTTAGTGTAAGATTGGTAATTGATTAATGATTAAAAATATATAAGAGAGAGAGAATTATGTTAAATATATCACTTGATTTAAAAATAAATTTAACGTTTGAATTAGAATAGCGCTACTCTAAAATAAAATGAGCCAAAGCCATTAAAAAAAAAAAAAAATTGTTATAAGGAAAGTGGCATGCACAGTAATTCTATAAACACAAAAAAATAGGTATGGAATAAAATACATAAAATGAAAGAAAATAATTTACAAGATAACTTTTTAAATTTATTTTTTAGTGTAAGATTGGTATTAGGTAATTGATTAATGATTAAAAATATATAAGAGAGAGAGAATTATGTTAAATATTTTAATAGATTATTATATCACTTGATTTAAAAATAAATTTAACGTTTGAATTAGAATAGCACTACTCTAAAATAAAATGTGTGATTCAAATTCACAGCATAACAAATTTTTGTCTAAACCATACATTTCATTTTTTGTTCACGAGTTGACGAGATAGATGATGTATTCGTTTACCAGAGGTGATATTAAAAATCCGAATGTTTTTTATTGTGCTCTACAGTTTTTTTCCTTTTGGACACAGCTTCTTCACCACTATTTCCTTTCTATATATAGTAAAAGACAAATACGAAAAAAACAAATTAAAAAAAATAAAAGAAAAAATTAAATTAAAACTTTAGTACCAAGTGTCATTGATAACAATCCGCACCCACCTCCCATAACAGAGACCACATTCATCATCTCCTCCCTCCTCTTTCCCCATCTTTTCCCCCACAGAAAACCATGTTTGATCCAAAAACTGAACTTGCAGGCAACCATGTCCATAGCTTCAATCCCACTGAACATCCAAATGACAGTTATGACAGTTGGGGGACCATGAATTTCGATCCCACGGCTCAAAAAACTCCCCAAAACTATGAGAATCATGGGAATTGGAATGGTGAGGGTGTCCAATTTAGACCCGAAAATATGGAAGATGAGACCGGTGTTTGTTCACCACCTTTGTGGAGGACAAGTCAGCCCACAAGTCCGGTACACACGTGTCATCCCCAGAAAAATTACCGGTACCTATCTCCGAATTCAAGAGCTCAAGCAATAGCCAGAGGCCAGTGGGAGCTCACGGAGATGATGAACAACATGCCTGAGTCTTGTTATGATCTATCTTTGAAAGATATTGTTGAGCACCCCACTAGATTGGAACCTCAAGCAGAAGAATGTTTGGTTGGTGAGAAAAAATTTGGAAGGGTGAAGGAAATTAAGAGGCAAGAAAGTAAGAAGAGTGAGAAAAAAGAGAAAATGATGAGAAGCAGAAGCACTGACAATGGAGGGTTACTAATCAAAGTGGTGTTTCCAATTTCATTTGGATCAAAGAAGAAGAAGAAGAACTCTGATTCGCCAAAACCTGAGGCTTCGGATAAGTCTTTTAAGGCTGTTGGTAAGGAATGGTGGAAGAAAAGATTTACTGTTTCGAGGGAGAGCGAATGCGGTGGCAGAAGCAGAAATAGTGGAAGCCCTGAAAGCAGTGGCAGCAATAGAAGCAGGTATGATAATCTTTTTCTTTCATTTTGTTCTGTTTATTGCGTATCCTCGAATTGATTGAATTTTTTTAAGCAGTGAAAATAATCTTTGATTGAATAAAACCCATGATTTTGATTTTGAGTTACTATGTTTGATTACAAAAAATCTTTGATATTTTTTTTTGACAATTTCTATCATTCTTAGAAATTGAAAGCCAGCATGCGCCTCAAAAACAATATCTGTAAATTTTGCTGATTGGTAATTTAATTATCTTGGAGATGCCAATCTCCATATGAAACCCAACAAACAAGAATTGATGGCACAACAAACCAAGAAAATCATTTTCCCTATCCCTGTGTTTGGTTGGGAGATTTGATGAGGGACTTGGAAAGAAAGGGAAAAGTTAGGTGAAATTTGAATAAAATATACTTACATTTCACCTACTTTCACACATTTTTTCCCTTTTCATTTTCAAATCCCTCTCCAAATCCCCCAACCAAACATAGCATATACAAAACAAACCTTATCTTTTAGTCTTGCTTATTTCCTAAGTTTCAGAGATCCCCATCCCCATATGAAGAAAAACAAGAAAAAACAATTTCCTCATAGGAAACAGCCTAGGTGGATCGAGCCATCGCTAGCCACCAATTCAGCTAAGTTGAGTCAGAGTAGTGTACCAATTCAGCTTAGATGAAAAATCCCAAGATGCAAAAGATAAATTGCAGCTAAAAATGATTCGGAATGCGAAATGGATTTGGAAAGCATTGTGTGTCACTTGACAAAGTTGCAAGTTATTCCAGTATCAAATGCAAAATTTAGGATATCTATGAATAATTATGAATCTGTCTAATTATATGCAATTACATTGTGTTACATATGTTTTAAGGATGTTCAATTCCTTTTTTAAGCATTCAATAATTTTTTTTTTCTCATTATTCATCTAAAAAGTTCAGTGAAGATGCTGAACAAAATATAAAAGCTTGTTCATGTTTTTTGATAAGTTTCATCAATTAAACATGAAGATTTGCACAAGCCTGAACATAAAAAAGGAAATAAAATAAAACGATCAAAATATATTAGACATATTATCTAAAAATCAATTTATATATCAGCGTTTCCATGACCCTATATAAATTGAACTTGGGTCTACTTGAGGTTGGCTCGATTACTAAACATGCTACTTAAAAGTATTACTTAAAAACTTTTTTATTTAGCAAACAAACCAACTCAAAAGCCGAATTTAAATGAGATTTAATAGAAGCTTGGCGTGTTCACGAGTAGTTCGGTTCCTTCTGCGTGACAATGAATTAAATTAGGTAGATGTAGTAGAACTGAAACAGCAAATCAAATTAATACATGATGTGAATCATTGACTAACTGCAAAATGTTTCTTGAATGTTCTTGCAGGAAGAGTGAGTCCTTACTTGGTTGCTGGTCCATCTTTCTCTCCAAGAAAAACAATAAAGTGTAAACTGAAACCACATCACAAAACAAAGTTGAAATGTAGCATATATTCCTTAAAATTTTTTAAGTGAGATAGCAATTTTTTTTCTTTTTCATTTTGGACTTTTCTTAAATCATTTTAAGCTTTGTTTGGAAATAAATGAGTCATGAGTGTTCTTCACATGGATGCTTTGTCTTCAAATTAGCTATTTACATGCAATCCTATTGTAATTGCAGATGAACTGATATATGGTTCAACTTGTGGATTGTAACTACACCCAAAAAAAAAAAGGAAAAGAAAGCCCCCATAAAATTGAAGATTACAAAAAATTGAAGATTGAAAATACTAGAATTCAAAAGACTCAATAAATGATTGTTATGGATAAGAATGAAAAAATAGCATCTTGAAAATACTCAAATTCAAAAGACTTAAAAACTTTATTATGATAGGGAAAAATCTATTTTACCTTCATGTGGTATGACTCGATAGCATTTTACACCATGTCTTTTAAAAATATATAGCCATATACTCCCATGTGATTTTTAGACTAAAATACAATCTTAACACCGTTAATGTTAACAATAAAAAGACAATTATACCCTTTATGTCTTATTCTTCTATTTCTAGCTCTCTTTGTAAATAAATAAATAAATTTACTTTCATGACTAAGGAAAAAAATTTAAAACATAATATAAAACTAATTTAAGAAACTAGAGTTTCCTAAATATTTTTTTAATAATTTCAATTTTAATTTTAATTAATCTATGATTTAATTTGTTAAATATTTATGTTCATGTTTAATTTAAATTTTTTTATTAAATAATAAATTGATTTGAAAATTAAAAATTAGATTAAGGTACTTTTATGGTAAGTTAAATTATGATTTAATTTGTTATATATATGTATTATATATATTTTTAATTTAAAATATTATTAAATAAGGTAATTTTATGGTAATAAATTAGGATGTTTAGTTTAATTTATGATTTAATTTGTTATATATATAGATTTATCTATGTTTATGTTTATTTTAAAATGTTATTAAATAAAAAATTAAAAATTAGATTAAAGTAGTTTGATGATTACTTTTTATAATAAGAAATTAAGGTATTTAGGTTAATTTAATTATATATATTATATATGTTTAATTTTAAATGTTATTAAATAAGAAATTTAGATTAAAAAAAATGTTAGTTTTGTCTTCTTATATTGAAATTTAACTTTGATTAAGTTTTTTTTCTTTTCCCACTCTCAAAATAAATATGTGAGACATACTCTCTATTAATTTAGATGAAAAATATAACTGTAACACGTTAGTCAAAAACCACATAAGAGATATGTGGATATTTTTAAAAGATAGGGAGGTAAAATGCAATTAGATCATACCACAATGGAGTAAAATGAATTTTACTGATAATGATATTATGAAAAATATAATGTCTGTGAAGACTATACCCATTGCCCAATTAAATAACTCTTTTAGAGGTATCTTTAATGTTACTTTACGCATATCACCTTATTTTTTTTCCTAACAATTCAACTGTTATTAGGCACAATATTGATTTGTTTTGCAATATTGGACTTGGATGTTCTGATGACTATAATAAAATATAAGTTTCTAAATAACAAAAAATTTCACTTCCAAAAGTGCTTCGAACCATTTTTAAATAAATGTTAAGATAAGTTCTGCGAAAATTGCAGTTTAGTAATTTAAAATAAAAAAATAACAAAAAAATAAAATAAAATAAAATAAAGTGGAGTACCTTAAAAATGATCAATAAACAGTAGTGTCCCAAAAATAAATAACTAAATGAAAGAGTTAATTACTTAAACGTTTTATTTACAAATGTTATAATAACTTAGGTCTTATTAATATTTTTTGAACCAATAAGTCATATTTAGTAAAATTGAGAATATAATCAAATTTTCTCAATTTTTAAAATTAAGAACTTCATCAATTTTGCATAATAATGTTCCTGATAATTGTTTCACTAACTGATAAAAAAAAAAACAGACCATGAGAACGTTTTTGCCCTTCTACTTATTAGCTTTCTGATTGTTTTTCCATAATTTCCAGAGCTCTACGGGTATCCACTGGCTTCCATTCACAATTGACAAGCATGTCAGCCCAATCGGTATCAACTTCATCTGGATCAAATATCTGGCTTCAAGATTAGCCTTACTCGATGGGAACGTCATCTGGATCAAACATCCACCACCAACCTTCACCAAATATGCTGCCTCCATGTCACCTACCACGAACCAATGGATTACATATATCCCTAGTCCTAGCAGCTTCAGAAGCTCGTGGATCGCCTGATCTTCAAGAACCCAGATCAAATTACAATTAGGTTCGGGAATCCCCTGCTGAGAGTACCAGTTCACGAGAAACCTGGCCCATTGCCGATGTTATTGTGGCAAAAAAGCTAGAGAATGAGAGAGCAGAGAATGATCTTCCCGAATCGTCAGTCACTCGTCCGACCTTGTTCGATGTCCTTTCCATGTAAAACCTCCACAGATCTCTTCTTCTTGTGTCTCTGTTTCTCTGAAGATCTTCTTCCTCCTCTTCCTCACCACTAATCCCTCCGACGCCGACTTCTTCTTCCTCCCCTTCTCTATCGCCGCCATGCGTCACGATCTGTGGAGACCTTGTTGGTCTTGGCCATTTGAATGTGAAGCAGAAACAGAGAGCCCATGTAGAGAGAGAAAGTGAGTAGAAAGAGAGAGGGAATGGGGTGAGGGACTTTAGACTACAAAAGAACAGATTGTGGACCTAATCCATTACTAAAAGTTGGATAGGGACCTTAGACCGATTTTCCCATTTATCTATGCTTATGTTTATTTTAAAATGTTATTAAATAAAAAATTAAGTTAAAAATTAAAAATTAGATTAAAGTAGTTTGATGATTACTTTTTATAATAAGAAATTAAGGTATTTAGGTTAATTTAATTATATATATTATATATGTTTAATTTTAAATGTTATTAAATAAGAAATTTAGATTAAAAAAAATGTTAGTTTTGTCTTCTTATATTGAAATTTAACTTTGATTAAGTTTTTTTTCTTTTCCCACTCTCAAAATAAGTATGTGAGACATACTCTCTATTAGTTTGGATGAAAAATATAACTGTAACACTTTAGTCAAAAACCACATAAGAGATATGTGGATATTTTTAAAAAATAAGGAGGTAAAATGCAATTAGATCATACCACAATGGAGTAAAATGAATTTTACTGATAATGATATTATGAAAAATATAATGTATGTGAAGACTATACCCATTGACCAATTAAATAACTCTTTTAGAGGTATCTTTAATGTTACTTTACGCATATCACCTTATTTTTTTTCCTACCAATTCAACTGTCATTAGGCACAATATTTGATTTGTTTTGCAATATTGGACTTGGATGTTCTGATGACTTTAATAAAATATAAGTTTCTAAATAACAAAAATTTTCACTTCCAAAAGTGGTTCGAACCATTTTTAAATAAATGTTAAGATAAGTTCTGGAAAAATTGAAGTTTAGTAATTTAAAATAAAAAATAAAAATAAAATAAAATAAAGTGGAATACCTTAAAAATGATCAATAAACAGTAGTGTCCAAAAATAAGTAACTAAATGAAAGAGTTAATTACTTAAACGTCTTATTTACAAATGTTATAATAACTTAGGTTTTATTAATATTTTTTGAACTAATAAGTCATATTTAGTAAAATTGAGAATATAATCAAATTTTCTCAATTTTTAAAACCAAGAACATCATCAATTTTGCAAAATAATGTTCCTGATAATTGTTTCACTAACTGATAAAAAAAAAACAAACCATGAGAACGTTTTTGCCCTTCTACTTATTAGTTTAATTCAACTATCCAATATAATTGAGAATATTAATAGTTTTTTTCAATTTTAAAACTACGAACATTATCAATTTTTTTATTGTTAAAGTTTTTTAATTTTTAATTTTTTTTTACAGTTTTGCACATCAATGTTCCATCATCATGCTCCTTTATAGATACAAAATTTTCAGTTTTGCACAAAAAAATAATTCAGTTTTTTCAATTTTTTTTATAAAAAAATATGAGATCCTCTTTGCTTGGTTCTATTTTTCTAAAAATACTTTTCAGAAAGTTCTACTTTATTTGTTTTTTGTGTTTTTTTGTTTTTACTAGATTTTTTTAAATATTTTAAGCAATTTTTTTTTTTTACTTTTCAGACATATCTAATATAAATATACCTAAAAAGTAAAATATTTGTAAAAAAAACTTTTTAAAAATTCACTAAATACCAAAAATACAAAAAATACGATAATTCAGTACATTTTTTATATTTTTATGTATTTATTAATTTTTTAAAATATTTGTTCACAAATTTTTTACTTTTTAGATATATCTAAATAAGGTGCATCTAAAAAAATATAAAAAAATGTTTGAAATTTTAAAAATATTCACTAAAAACAAAAAAATACGAAAACCAAAAAATTCAATTTTCAAAAAACTTAATCCAAAACTCAAACCAAACACACTGTTAGTTTTTTTTTTCTTTTGCGCATAATTTTTTTTAAAAAGTTTTTTCAATTTAAAAGGTGTGTTTTAAAGTTTTGAAAATCAAAATAAATATCAATTCATCATGTTCCTTTATAGATAATTCTAAATTATGAATGATCCTTGCTTGAAATGTAATTTTGACTATTAAAAATTTAATGGGATTTGAAAATTTAAATTTTTTTACTTAAGACTTGTTACCCAAAAAGCAACCTAAGAGGGGGTGAATTAGGTTTTTACAAATTAAAATAATAATATCCCAATAAAATTAACTACTAGTACAATAAATTATTAACAGGCACAATGATGAACTTAACACTAAATGATCAAGCAAAATAACAATGAAGTATAGCTAACATACATGGTAAATCAAATGATTAGTACATGAATATTAGATAGATATAGCAGTAGTAGGAAAGTAAAGAGATTAGGGAAGACAAAACAAATAGATTTATAGTGGTTCGGCTTCAACCAAGCCTACATCCACCGTTGTACTTCCATCATTACTAATTTGAATATCTTTCACTCCATCATTACAAATTTGAATATCTTCCATTTGAACATTTTGGTCTGCTACTATGCTGGGCTGTTTGAATCTTTATTTTGGGCTGTTCGAACTCCTAATACATTCTA